GCTTCCCTCATTCTTGAGTTGCTCGAGCGGGTTCCAGTAACGCCTCCATTAGCCCTGCAACGTGATGGAGTTGCCCAATGGGTTCTCTGTGCTCGAAGGACACGATGAACATCACGTCGTATGTTCGCAGCTTTCGCGGAGAAGTCTGAACATCGCGCAGTTGCCCGTCTAGGTTTTCGCTTGACCTACCTACCGCGAAATCCAGTGGCTAATCGCTATAGTCCAGCGGTCATCCTCCAGTCGCATGACCAGCTTTTCACCGCTTTTTCGATGGCGCGTTGAATAATACTGATCATGTTCACGCTATTCCCGTGGAGTCTAAGTCGAAACAGGATGAAATGGCTATAACCCCAGAAAAGAGAATACACGCAAAACAAAACACGCAGAAGATACCCAAGATGTTCCTCGATAAGCAGGAGCTGGCTCTCGCCATCACCTTCATGTACACCAAAATATGAAGTCATCCAGTCGCAGCCTGACTGGAGAAGACCTTTGGAATTCATGTCACCTCCAAACAGCTGCGAAACTTCTAGTATGGTCACCCATGGATAGCTACCTGGAGACCAGTACTCTCGATCTGGATGACCTCCAACATCGAGCAGCTCCGACAACGTCGCTACGGTCTAGGACATCATCTTCACCACAGTCGCCAAGGCGCGGGTTGATGGTATGGACCGGACGTACCTGGAATGGAAAGACCGATATTTTCTTCGTGGACCCCGGACTGAAGGTGAGCGCTGGCGGTTACATCGAGCAACTCGAGAAGAATATCCTCCCCACATGTCGTCGCCCGTACCTTCTTGGAAACTTTGTACTGCTACAGGATTGGGTGACACCACATGAAATTGAAGGGCGTTGGAAAAACTCTCGCCTACTTGGAATGGAAGGGCGTTGAGTACCTGAAGAAGATGGAATATCTAAGCAGGTCACCTGACCTAAACCCCTCAATTACCTGGTTCGGGCGGAGTTCAATAGGGTGGTCTACAGTGGCGGAGAAATCAACGATCTGAACTCAGGCACCGAACCATGGTTGCGTGGCAGAATCTCTCGATGGCGGTGGTCCAGAAGGCTGTGGCGGAGCATCATGATAGTATTTAATATGCTCTTTAATATGGTAGTAAAAAGGTCCGATCAGAATTCAATAAAGTGTAACTTATAGCGCCTCGAAAGTCAAGGAGAAAAGTGTCTTTTTTATGGCCCCCTGTATCTGAATAGTTAAAGACAAATTGCCCACACTTCTCTCAGGACGGTAGTTTTCATGCTTATGGTAAATTGGTCTGTAGCTGAAATAGGGTGCTACTTTCTTCGCTCAAAGATGCAAGGAAACTGGGCCGTAGTATTAGTCACTATACGCTAATCTCTGCCCGCACTCTCTTCAAGGTGCAACATTTGCAGGGATACCATTGTCCCACAACGAAACACATACTCAGCGGTATAGAGCAACCAGAAGTGAGACGGCACAGACAAGTAGCGCGCCTGGCTACGATCAGGCGCAGCTGGCCACGCGGCAGCGCGGAGAGAAGCATGGAGCTCGCAGAGCGGGCACTGCGATATCGCTACTCTGCAGCCTCGTTTCCGAGGTTTGGAGCGAAGAAAATGGCATGCGGACCCATTCGCCTAACACATGGCAAGGATGAGAACCCACGGAGGTAAGTATACAGTTTGCCTTTAAACGAGACTGTTATTGACACTGAGTGTTTGACACTGAAGGGAAGTGAACAGGCGCTCGCCCTCACACAGAATTCGCATTTCCCCCCCCCCCCCACGGCAAATTTCCATAAAAGTTGAGCGATGTTGTAGTCAAAGAATCTGGCCATGAATTCGCGCCATAAACGAGACATCTTTTGCCTATTCGTCTAACAATCGGCATACCCAGATATTCAACTCAAAATACGTTCCCTCACAGCTAGACTTAAGGAGACTCTCTCTAGCTCGAACAATAATGCGTCCGCTACATACACCGCCATCAAGGCCTCATTCTTCGCACTCAGGCTGTAATTTATCATTACTTGGTTGCAAGAAGCTCGAAGTAAATATGAAAAGAATGTGAAAGATTAAGGAGTACCTGTCCCAGTTGGGGATCATTTCATGTAGGAATACAAGGTCTTCATAGAGTTCTTGTTCATAGAGTGTCTGGATGTGGTCAAACAACCTCATGTAACCTAAAAGACAACCGCCACACATTCACAGGGTAGACTACATCTTTTCCAACGTAAAACAATGCGAGATACTGAGGATAATTACTACACGACGTTCCGCGAGTGACTGGTGCACCGCGCGCGACAAGAACCGCCGCGTGCGGCAATACGTGCGAAG